ATCTGTGACAGATTGTTACTTCTCTGTAGTTTAGTAGGTTTTTATGCATAAAGGAGAATAATGAATGACCAGCAGACAGCTCAGCTGTTTAGCTGAAAGACAGGAAAAGGAGACCCGCAGCTGGAGTCTGACACAGAAGACAGGGTTTTTAAAATGATCCTTCCGCTTTGAGGAAGAGGAGCTGGGTCATGAGATGACACTGAAAAGAACTGTTAATGGCTTTATTTTATCTTCCGCTTCTTTTGATTATCGGTCTTCTTAGTGATGTATGCTTTCAGGAGGTAGCGTTTCCTGTTGCAGCGAGACGCCGTGCAGTCTGACTCACAGAAATCTTGCTCCATACAGTGTGCCACCTTTCTGGAGTTCTCACAGTGAGACAGGAACAATCCTATGCAACGGCCGCAGATCGCACAGTGTGATCCTGGCTTTAGACCCACTCCAGTTGGCTTACAGGGCAGGCAAGTGGGTGGAGGATGTGACAGGAACTCTTTTAAATATGATTTTAAGGCCTGAAGATGGTTTTTATTGACTTTCCATCTGCATGTAACTGTATTCAACCCCATATTTTAGCTGAGAAATTCTGTCTTTATGGTATTGTCTCTGGTCTCATAGGCTGGTTGATACACTTTTTAACAGTTCAGACCATCAATATATATACTGGACAATTAATGTCCACTCTGCAGCTCTCTGGGCCTCTTTTCTTGTTTTATTGGACTTTTTTCCTAATGTACTGACACTGTGTGTTCTGTTATTTTATAAAATCTTGTGTAAAAATATGAAAGTTTTTTTCTCTCAATTACTGCAATTTCTTTGGCTAAGACAAAAAAGGAGGGACAAATAATTTATGCCAAGTTGTTTCTCCAACAGGCCCGTTTTAAGTCCAACAGTGTCTTAACAGCCAATTGAAATGTGATCTTTGCTAATTTTACTTGGTTTAAAAATCTTATTAAATAAACCTTAGAGGCTGCAGTAACCAGATCATACTTCTTGTGTATCCAAGTAAGTATTTGGTTTGTAGATATTTTTACAGGTATTGTGAGTTATGCATTTGTGTGTAAAAGAACAGAAACTTAAGTAATGTGTCATTCTTTATTGAAAAAACAACAGTACTGTTACAGAAAGTGGGGATAAATGGTAACGTGAAATTCTTGCTCTTTAAATGTAATTCTATTCATCTTTAAAAAATGTCTTAAAATGTCCTGTACAGCAACATGAATGGTGGTCTGTCTGTCGGGATGTGCTGAACAGATTAGCTCTGTCAAGAGGAGCCTTTTGTGTACGAGGTTCACCTTGAATAATGAACAGTGGGTTGGGTTATGTATAGGAAGCCTAAGTCACCTCCGCATCACGGGTCCTTGGAAGAATGAAAAAATGAATGCTAGTCAACGGGGCTAAAAACTCTATGCTCTAATCCACTCTGCCTTACGCCCTGGATCACACATATGCTGTACTGCAATTGAAATGAAAACTAGTGATGGGTGTTTCGACCATGCCAGTCACGTAGTTTGAGATTTATTAGCTTGTAAAAGTTCGTAATTAGCATGAGTACAAACTACAATTGGGCACGTGGCAAATGTGACGTCACCACAAAATCTCCACTGCTACTTACCACATGAGCAGATTTGTGGTGGTTCTTTCCTCCTGAAGGAAGTTTGCTGCACGTACAGCCCTATAGGCTCCCTATAACAAATTAGCAAGTAAATGCTGGACCAGTCTGGAATGAAGAGGGTTGATAGAGGACAAACGAGTAAAGAAGAGAGAACAATAAAAACAACTAGAAAACAAATAAAACAAACATAAAAACCAGCTGCTGCACCTGTAAACAAACATTCGTAAAAATCAACAAGAAAATGGGAGATGACCAACTATAAACATGTAAACCTTGAACAGCAAACATCAACACGCATGTGTCCTTGTGTGTGCAGGGATGTGAAGTGTGAGACTAAGGATCAGGTGCACTCTGGAACCGCCCCAAAGCTGAAGGAAACAGGAGTCAAGCAGCACTTCCACCTGAAACAGAATAATTAAAATTAGAACCAAATACAGCTGGTGTTCAGTACGACAAAACTGTCATGATTATGAGCGATGAACTGAAATCAACAGACTTTTAGCCAGATTTAAAAAATGCTACAGATAACGGTGAATAAAAACAAAAATCCCTCCACATGAGGATTAGGAGCAGCGGCAGCTGGTGAAATCAGTTTTTGGTGAGGCGCAACTTTGCTGTCAGATGTGCTCTAACCACATATCACCACTAGGGTACGCCAAAGTATCATGCTTTTTCTTTACACTATTTTAAAAATATTAAATTCAAGTCAAACTATGATGTTTTCAGTTACAGTTTACATTTGTAAGCCCTGTCTGAATCCAGGCAGCTCTAAGAGGAGGTGGGGGAAGACAACAAAGCACTGGTGTTGGCACAGCCAGTTAGCCAAAGGTGGACTGTTGAGAGCTTCTGGTTGAATGTCCGGAGTGAGAGTGGCCAGGATGGAGTAGCAGTCAGTGAGAAAAGTGGAGATTTCCAGTATGGTATGTAGTATGGTAGTATCTATGCAACACCTTGTACTGTATAAATTAAATTCTAGCCTCTTTCACATATTTACCACTGTCTGATAAGATATTTAGCCATTTTTCATTTGTGTATCCTGTTTCTAAGTCCCGCTGCCAAAGTAGTTTAATGCCTAAAGACTTCCCACTTAAACCATAATTAAACAGTTTATAAAACGCCGAAGCAGTGTGGCGATCACGTCGCATTTTCATATAACCTAAGATATCATTCTCAGGAACTTCCTTAAATTTAGAAGTCACACAATGTCTCATTTGGAGGTATTTCCAAAAATGTCCTTTACCTTGTAATTTGTAAGTACGGGTCAGATCCTCGTAAGACATAAAGTTTCCATCTTTATACAGATCTCCAGTATTACATATACCACATGAGTGCCACTGTCCCCAAAACACCGGTACTTTACCAATACATATAGCAGGTTATTCCAAAGAGACGCATACTTCTGGACATAATGTGAAAGCTTCAACATTTTATGTACCTTTGACCAAACCTCACAAGAGTGAATAATAACCAGATTAGTTGTATTTATTTTTTGAGACAATTTGTGTTTTGGATCAAATGGTGAACAGATATCAAATTCAATATTTAACCATTCTTGTTTTTCTTTACCTTCCTCCTTCCTAAAGTTGAATGGGGTTTTCTTTTTTCTGCTTTATCAAATTTTGGATTTGGGTCACAATTTATAAACTGGGTTAAAATATTGTATAAAGAGCCGAGGGCGGCAGTTATAACCAACGGAATTATTTCACCTTTTTTCGGTTTGTCACGTGGGATCCGACAGGGGTGTTCTCTCAGCCCTCTATTATTCATTATATTTATAGAAACGGTAGCTGTGAGTATTAGGTCAAATAGTGATATTAAAGGTATAAGAACAGGCCAAGTTGAACACAAATTACTTCTTTTTGCAGACGATATTGCAGCAACGATAACTAATCCACTTACATCTTTACCACATTTAATGGACACTCTAGAATCCTACTCAAAAGTTTCTGGATATACAATTAATTGGTCCAAGTCTGAGGCTATGCCATTGTCGGGTCTGTGCTATCCACATATGGTGGAGAAATTTCAATTTAAATGGACACCTAAAGGCATGAAATATTTGGGGATGAAATTATGCCAGAGCTAGGTGAACTGCCTTCACTAAACTTGAACCCAGTGTTGTCAAAAGTCAAAACAAGTTTTGAAAAGTGGGAGGCATTAAAATTGACTTTGTGGGGCAAAATTAATATTATTAAAATGATTATAGCACCCCAGCTCAATTATATGCTCATGATGCTACCTATTTCTATTCCTCAGGACTTTTTTAAAAGGTATGAAAATTTGGTTAAACATTTCTTGTGGGAGGGTAAAAGAGCAAGAATAAAAATGGAGAAATTGTAAGCCCCCAGAGAGAAAGGTGGATTGGGACTTTTGGACCCAAAGCTCTATTACCCATCATTTGAAATGGCAAAACTAGTTAAATACTGGGAGGAAGTGATGACTCTCAAAGTGTTCACTGCACAAGCGGGAGTGTGAATTTGAGTCCAGCACTCTCTTCTTTGGTTGCTTACCCAAAGGTCAAGCCTCTCTGGATCACCTAGAGGAAAACTTCATACAAAGAACTGCTTAAGCATATGGGTTTAAAATACTATATAGCTTATCATGGTCTGTATTAAAAGGTCTAAAATTAAGACGAATAAAGAGTAATACAAAATGTATACTTTATATAAAAGAATTGAATACAACCAAACACGTGAGTCTATTGTTTTATTAGATAGGGTTCGGGTCAGCAGACAGGCGCCGCTGAGGGGAAACCCAATGTGTTCGTCACCCTGCTCAGACGAGGGTGATGAACGAATCAATCAGTCTGGTCAGAACTAGCCTCTCCAAACAGACGTTTACAACTAACAGTCTAGAACAGGTGAGGTCATTATTTATAACCGCTCCAAATAATTCCTCATCTGTTAATTTATTTTAAATAATTCTGAGCTGGAAAAAAAAGAAAAGCTTCTCCAGAATGTTCTGTTCTGACTGAAGCTGCATTTAGAGTTTTCTCTCTGGGGCGACGGTGGCACAGGAGTTAAGTGTTCGCCCTGTAATCAGAAGGTTGCAGGTTCAACCCCCGCTCAGTTTGTTGCTGTTGTGTTCTTGGGCAAGACACTAAACTCCCCCTTGTCTGCCGGTGGCGCCCAGAGGGACCGGCGGCACCAGCGCTCAGCAGCCTCGTCCCTGTCAGCTCACCCCAGGGCAGCTGTGGCTACGTCATAGCTCATCCCCACCAGCATGTGAACGGGTGAATGATGGATTGTGTTGTAAAGGGTTCCAGGACTCTAGAAGGCGCTATTTTACAAAGGAGCTGTTTGATCCCTCATCTCCTCGGAGCACTTCGATGAGGCCTGCAACATGTCGTCTGAGCCAGCTGGCATTGATTCCTTTCTCTGTCTGCCTCCAGGAAGAGGATCTTAACTGCCTCAGAGAGTGCTGGTCTGATGCGCTGGTCAAACGTCAGCAATATCTTGATGATCAAATCAAAAAAATCATCCACAAACATGGTGAGTTCTTGGCAGCGTACGGCTGATATGAGATAAGCAATTAGTGTTGTTATGATTAATACTCTCTTCCTTTCTGAGTGTAACCAGAAAAGTCAGAGGAGGACATTGAGCGGGAAGCGCGTCTGGTGGAGCAGTGGGTTGGTCTAACTGAAGAGAGGAATGCAGTTCTGGTGCCGTGTCCAGGAAGTGGCATCCCTGGATCTCCTGCAGACTGGTGAGTGAAAAAAACAAAACAAAAAACATCACTTTTTTTTTCATTTGTGTCGTTTTCACTGGTAACTTTATCTATCTGCATTTAGGGCTCCACCCCCTGGAATGGAGACTCACATTTCTGTCCTCTTCCTGGATTTAAATGGTAAGAGTTAAAACGTTCTTATGCAAAAGCTTCTGTTTGTCTTCCAAAGCAATACGAGTCTGTTATGCCACCAGCGGATAATCTGACAGTGAACAAGCAGATGAATGGACCACACACTGCAGGAGTTAACTCCATCTTGCCCAAAGAGCATGGCAGCCAATTCTTCTACCTGCCCATCATCAGGCACAGTGATGAGGAGGTAAGCCGACACTTTACTTCCACCTAGTGGCCAAAAAAGAGAACTTAGAGCAGAAATGTCTTACTTGTTCCAAAAACATTCACTCAGATATTTCATACATCTAGCCACTCCATTTGAATTATTAGGATTTTTAGATGATTCAATGCTTCAGTCCAAGTTATTTTACTACCATTTCTTCTCTGTTCCTCCAGGTGCTGGCAGTGTGCTCCTGGGATTCGTCCATTCATGATTCTGTCCACCTCAACCGAGTTACCTCACCTAACGAACGCATCTACCTGATTATCAAGGCCACGGTGCAGCTCAGCCACCCTGCATCCATGGAGCTAGTGCTCCGTAAGAGGATTGCTGTCAACATCTACAACAAGCAGGTGGAGTGGAGGTGGAGGTCATTTAGCTCACAGCAGTGGGTTTTGTTTTTCTCATTCGTGGTGTTTTTCTTTTGTTTTATCCAGAGTTTTACTCAGAGTCTCAAAAGAAGGATGTCCCTGAAGAACACACTTTTCTCTTGTGGAGTGATTTATGAGATAGTTTCTAACATACCAAAGGTTGAACCTGGTATTTATTTGACATCCTGTTTGTTATATAGATGTATCATGTTTGTCATCATGCTCTTCCATCCAGGCCTCAAAAGAGCCCGAGGAGAGGGAAACCTTGGCCCTCATGGCTGCTCGCGGGGACAGCGAGGAGATTCAGAATGGAGAAACTTATATAGAGAAATACATCCAAGGAGTTCTGGAAGTAGAGAACATCCTGAGTCTTGAGAGGCTACGACAGGTAAAACAACATCACCATTTACTGAGTTAGGAATAAAGTTTGGTACCGGCGTTTCTGCATCAATTGCATCACATCTTCATTTTCTCCACCTGTCATGTGGGTTTATGAACAATCTGCCTATTTGTTATTTAGTGTTTCTATAATTACCAATTCTGCATCAGTCTTGATTTGCTTGTTGCGGCTCCTGACTGAACTGCTGCGATTCTCTGAAAGGCCGTGACAGTGAAGCAAGCACTCACTACTAAAAGGAGACATTTAAGGAGGAGTGTCAGCACACCAAATGTACAGCAGGTAATCAACTCAGGCATGACTTGAAAGGTTGGTTTATGCTTGACGCGTCCGCGAGGTCCGCACGGCTCCGCGCGGAAAAGTTGCGCCATTTTGCGTCATTTTAACAACCACGCCCCTCCATCGCGCCTCCGCACGGCCCAGAATTTCCGCAACGCGCACCTCGGAAATTTCTAACCACGCGGAAAAACGTGGCGGACCGGCAAGAACTAGTATGGCAGAGGTTCATAAATACAGACATTTGTATGATTCGGCTCTCAAAGATCACTGTGATCAACATGTTGTTAATAATTCTTGGAGAGAAATAGCTCGCACTGTCGGAAAAGACGAGGACGCTGTTAAAAATGCTGGGATGCCATGTTGTAAACAGTAATTTCTACTTCTACTATGGTGTAGTGTTGGGTGCATGCCGTAGAGCTCCATGCTGCCCCCTACAGTTTGGGAGAATATTGGCTCACCGCAGAGACGAGCCGCATGAACCATAAAAGTTGCGAGTTGTGAAGCGCGTTCCATCCACGAGCCGCATCACCGCGTGGAAAGTGAATGCGTCAAGCATAAACCAAGCTTAAGTCTGCTTGTTAAATGGAAACAGCTGCTGTATCAAAGTTTTTTCTGCCTCCAGGCCTCTTGTAGTAAGTCGGACCTAATGGAGGATGAGGAGGGCCAGATGCAGGTGCGTTTTAACTATATTCACATATTTCTCTTCCTGTGGTCTAAGGCTGAATTCCACTTGTTCCACATTTGTTACAAAGTCATGAGGTCAACTGAGTCTATCAACTGCTTTATAGGACCACTGTGATCACATGGACAACACTAGCTGCACCTCTCAAGATAAACCCTTTTGCACACCTATCAAAATCCAGGAAAATCCAGGTAAAGCCCAGTTATTGTAGCTGCAGTCAGTGTCCTGTTTTGTTAAAGTTTAAAATTGGGTCACCTGTGAACGTCCCCACACAGGCTCGGTTCCAGAGAGTCCTATCTTTTTCAGCATCAGCCCTTTCAAGGTCCTTTCCCCACAGCCGCCAAAATTCCTCAAGTCTTTGCTTCCTGTCCACGATAAGAGGAAAGGAAAGAAAGTCCTGGAGGCCCGGCCACTACTGGGACGAGAGGTAAAGAGCGCCAATCTTGATGGGCTTTTTATCCAGTTGTTTTGCTGGTTTGTTACCAGCAGTGTGGTTTTTGGCAGCCGTCTCAGTTTTAGTCTTAGTCTGTTGGACGAAAATGCATTTTAGTGTGAGTCGGTTTTAGTCGACTAAACTCGTTGGGTGGGTGGGGGGTGGGGTGGCTGGAGAACATTAGCTTTTGCAAAACTGACACAATTGGCATTCCCGATGTTTATTATTTATTCAGACCCTTTTCACAACATTGACTTCAGAAGAAAAAGTAAAATCAACTCCGACGAGACAGAGAGCCAGGTTTGTGGGGACAACTATAAACAAACATGGCGTCAATAGAAAAAGCTCACTAACTGGTTAAATTTGAGATCATGACAGAAAAAAAGGCAGCAGCAGTATTGTGGATGGTGTGAAAGACCTCTAAACCAGAGACGGAGTCACCATGGTGACAGTGTTTGGACGTGTTGCGTTAATTTCGGGGGACACAACAAGCAACGCTTCAAATCAACGCAAGTAACGCCTGGCAGCCATTTTAAACACGTGTTCATGTTGTTAAACAGCAAGTATATCACAACCCCTAGGGGCCTTGATAATTGTTGGAGATGCCTACATTAAAGCAGGGCTCCAAGTCAGCCATCTTTGAGGAGAGGGTACCATCTAGGGCCTAGCTGTTTCTTGTCTTTGTGTTGAGGCCCACCACGGAAAACACCCTTTCAGCATCTGCGTTGGAATGTGGCAGTACAAGAACCAGCTTGGAAACTGTAGCAAGCCTCTGAACTGGTTTTCTTCGCTCTGTCACCAATGGTAAATGACCAAAGCACACATTAGAAATATGTCCTCACATAACATTTCTTTATATATCTTTGGACAAATGAGTAAAGGTTGGTGCACAGACAACATTCAGATAACATACAGTGGGTACAGAAAAGAATCAGTCCTTTTGAAGACTTGTAAAGACTAAAAATGATATCTTTCACCAGCTTCACTTATGCAGTGCAACCATTACCATTCATTGAAAAACAACAAAGTTACAGTTCAAGAAGAAAAATAAATCCCTGCTGTGTTTGACAGTAATGTGATACCGTAAAATCTTTTCCCTTTGTTCTAAAAACCAGTTAAATTGCATTTGAAATTGATTAGTGGAGCATACAGACAGCAGTTCCTGTAGCATGGTAAACAAACTGAAGTGTGTAGAAAGCCACTTTCAAAAGATCTCGGGGAAAGAGTTGTGGACAGACATCAAAAAATCTCAACAGCTTTATCAGTCCCAAGGTGCACAGTAAAGTCTATAATAAAGACGTGCCAAGCACTTGGTACTACTGGGACTTCCCCCTGGATTCAAACTGGAAAGAAGGGTGAGGAGGGAACTGGTAAGAGAGACCACCCAAGAGGCTGATGGCCACTCTGTAGAATTAGAGGACTGTATGGCAAAGAGTGGTCATTCTGTTCAAGTGACAAAAGCCATGTCACAGATGTGGCTTATTTGGGAGGGTTGTAAGGAAAAAGTCAGTTCTCAAAATAGGCCACATTAAAGCTGAAAGAGGACAAAGTGAGCATCCTCGTGTGGCCCAGTCAGAGCCAAAACCTAAATCCAATTGAAAATCTGTGGAAAGAGTAGACGATTGATGTCCACCAACATCTACTATCCAACTGAACCGAACTCGAAGGGTTCTGTACAGAGTTGTTTAATCTAGAGTTGTTTAATCTAGATACACAGCATTGATTAGAGAAGGATCCAAACAAGCTCAAGGCCGTTGTTAAAGTAAAATATGGTTCAACAAAATATAGACATTTTGGGGATCCTTTATTAATTTCAGTGTTTCTTGTGTTTTTTATTTGAAATTTCTTTCCTGCACTGTAATTGTGATATTTTTCAATGGATGTTGTACAGTTCTCAGCATAAATGAGTACACCCCATTTAAAAAGTACAAATTTAATCAGCAGCTCAATGAACAAAATAACAATTTCCAGAGTTTTCACAAGGCTGATTTTATTGAACACTTGTCTAACTCCATGACATGAAATCAATGTTATACATATTGCACATCTATCTTTTTCAATTCTTCAAGAATAACCGGCTTTAGAGCCTGGATGCTGATGGAGAGTGATGCTCAACCTGCTGCTTCAGAATACCCCACAGGTGTTGGATTGGGTTCAGATCAGGAGACGTACTTGGACATTCAATCACCCTGTTCCCCTTCAGAAATGCTACCGTAGCTTTAGATGTGTTTTGGATCATTGTCGTGTTGGAACTTTCTACTGCTTTAGCTAACTATGTAGAGATGTTAACCTCTGTAGACGACCTGGACGTCTCTGTAAGATGGCTGCACTTTTATCTTTCTTAAACTTTTGGATCACTTTGCTACAGTATTCTGACTGATATGTAAAGCTTTCTTCTTGTAGCCCTCACCTTTTTGTGTAAAGACATGATTTCCTTTCTCAGATTTTGTGACATTTCTCTTCCATGTGGAGCCGTTGCTGACAGCATGAAATGGGAAGGGCTTTCATTTGTTAAGTAATGCTCTTCTATAGTCACCTGTCTGCTGGACATCTCTTAAATGAATCATTAGGCTCACCTGTGGTTGAATTCAAATGTTGTAGTCCTAACCCTTAAGGACCCGTGGTGACACTGGTGTCACAGCCCATTTCAAACATCTGCAGAATTGCTTCTTGAGTCAAATATTCAAGTTTGAAAACCCCAAGATACATTACACACACACACACACACACACACACACACACACATACATACATATATATATACACACACACACACACACATAAAACAATTTTACATCTTAATTTTATTTAAAATTTTCTAGATTTTGATGCATTTATTCTGATCTGGTTTCTAGTTCAAAAGGGTATGGGTTCTAAAATGTATTCTCCATCTGCATCGGGACGGACGAATAACTGGGACCATAACTCAATAACTATTTCTCAGTAGGACTAAGAAAGTGGCTATAGAGCTCCGGGAGTTGACGTCACTTCTCCCGGCATGCAACAGTTCAAATCGAAACGGCGCCATTTGGCATGCAGAAGCCGGCAGCTGGACTATTTGTTATTGTCAGAAAACTCAATCAGACAGGAAATATGGTAGATTCCTGTTGTGCCCCAGGATGCAGAACAGACGCGGATGACATAAGGAATGAGCCATCTACAGGATTCCCCAAGATCCGGAGCGCCGCAAACGTTGGATCATTGTAATAAAACGCGCTAGTGACCGGGCTAAAATGAAACTGTGGGAACCCGAGAGTAAAGGTTTTTGCTTATGCAGCGACCACTTCATATCAGGTACTTAACCCAACGTTTCCTCAACTGTGTATGGTATTTATTTTAAATGCTTTTATTATGATTCTTAGTGGGCTTCCTAAACTTATTTTGGCGTGGCTTTTTCTGTCTTATTACTCATAGTAACAAGTAAACATCACGTAAAACGTTGCCTCGTGAGTTCTGCGTGCTGCCGTTTACGTGTTTTATGATCACAGCAATTAACCGGCTAAGCTGTATTTCATTTTTAAGCAATGGTTGATCAATTGTCAGATCACACATAAAAAGCACTTTGGATTGCTATTATCTGTCTCACCGAGACCGATCTCAGACAGATCCTGAGACGCTCCTGCCTGACATATTTATTTTATTCACGGAAAAAAATCAGACTAGTGATTTCTCTTGGCGTTCAGTTTATACATTCAAACAGCACAGCACTCTATTTAAACTACTTACATGTAAATCTATGTTATCTGTCCATCCATCCATCCATTTTCATCCGCTTATCTGGAGTCGGGTTGCGGGGGCAGTAGCCTAAGTCGAGAGGCCCAGACTTCCCTCTCCCCAGCCACTTGGGCCAGCTCCTCCGGAGGAATCCCAAGGCGTTCCCCGGCCAGGTCCGGTAAGAAGTCCGCTCCGACAGCTTCTGGTGTTTTAAAAAGTATCCCAGGGGCACGGTAAGGGTCAGAGATGTTTAGTCTATTTAGTTTCTGGCTATATAAAACGATTTCTTCGGTTTTAAAGTGTGAAGTAAACTCCGACGGAGTAAAATCCAAGCTGATCCCATTCATTTTCTTTACCTTTGTTGCCTGCCAACATGGCGTCTACTCTCTGAGAGTCACGTGACGTCCGGAGCTCTATGGACTCAATTTAAATTTAATTAACCATTTTAACATTTAATTAACAGCCATGCTTCTTTGTTGTATCTCTATTTCACAAAACAATAATTTATCCCAGTACATATATTTTTAATAGTCTGACTGAAAATACAGATATCAACAGGTATTTTGTTAGTAGTGGAAATTTTATGTAAGGACTTCTGTTGGGTATTTTTACATCCTGAAATGAACCACACAGGAGAGAAGTCAGTAGGTTTTTTACGCTGTGAAGAGACAGCGGAGAGCAGCCTGCCAAAAGCCTGTCCAAGGCCCTTGTCCAATTAACTCTGTGTGTTCTCCCTCTTCAGCGGGTTTCAATAAAACCCGCTGAAGAGGACAAAGGACAACCAGGACAAAGAACAATCCATCACTGTCCACACTTAACCAATAACACTGTTGCTTCTATCTAAGGCGGGACCTTCTAAAAAGGAAGTTACAAGGGTGACTCATTCAGCCTGCTAGCTTTTCTGTTGCCAAGCAGAGCATTCCCAACCCCCATGCTTATCAGGCCGCATACCACAGCTATGAGGAAAGGAGAAAGCCCTCTGTGGCTTACTTATTAACATATGATTACTTAAAAAGGAACATTTAAGACCAGGGCCATTGCTAGCTATTTTGGTGCCCTAAGCACAAAGGCTTCGTGGTGCCCCCCAACCCACCCCGCAGAAAAAACAACACAATAACACAGCATGTGCAAGCGCTTCGCCTTAAATTATCTTTAATTCTCTTGTTTGCACAAACTGCTTATTGTTTACACAAAGTAGGACTGATATTTACATAATATAACATACTCAACACAGGAACTTCATATTGTTATTATTTAGAACCATGTAACAGGTCCACACA